ACCCCCTTTCAAGCTTACTGGGTGAAGCAAATTTGCTCCCTCTTCAAGCTTACTGCTGAAGCCCAAATTTGCTCTAGAGAAAAGATTCGTTTCCCCTGTTGTTGCCATTTTTGGAGTTACCTTGGAGAGGAATTGTGGTAATCCAAAGAGGTTGAACGTAGATAATGTTCGTGATGTTGAAGTTGGCCAAACTTCAAGAGGATCTAGGTAAAGCTCAATGCCTGCTAGAATTGATGTTTAAACACGGTATAAGTTTAGGGCTTGTCTTTTTTTAGTGCAAATTATGGTTATATTTTAGTTAAAAATGTCTTTGGTTTCAGACATGATCACTTGATTTTTAGTTTTTTTTAACACGGATCTTGAGTTTAATTTGTTATTTTCATCCATACTATCGTAACCCATTTAGTTTCTCTACCAAGTTGAATGAGAAAGATTTTGGCTCTTTTGAATGTGAAAATTGGAAGTAGTGTATATTATGATCATAAATTAGTATCCATTATCATCATAAATTTCTGGATCTTTTTCGTAGGTTGTGATGGTAAAGTTTTGATTTTTTTTAATTTTTTTTTGTGTTAACTGAGATTATAAAGTCTTGCATTTTTTATCCAATTTGTGTTAACGGTGATGAAATATGCATATGTATTGGCAAAACGTTTCTATGACAAACAGAAGGAAATATGCAATGTATTGACAAAAAATTTCTATGACCGACAGAAGGAAATAGTTAAGCTTGAGGGGGAGGGTTTTTTTTTGTTGGGGTGGGGTGTGTTGGGGGGCGGGGGGCATTACAAGATGTATTTGTTGACACTCACGTTAGAATAGCTGATGGGGACATCCGGACTCATACACGAGATTTTCGCCGGGTTTATCAGCGCAGGAGGCGCAATATTTCAGCACTATGGTTTTGATTTCAAGTTGTAATAATTAGTTTGAATTTTGAATTTTTGAATTTCGAATTTTGATTTTTATTTGGTAGTTATTGGGCTGATTTAATGTAATTGGTTATGGGAGTGATTTGAGGGATTTAGGAGGATTTTCCAAAACTGTAATTTGCTTTATTTAAACTCTCATGTAATCAGTTTGAAAAAATCACTGATGAATGAAATTGATTTGCTAAATAATGGTGTGAAACCCTAGCTTATTGATTTTGATCAGCCGTCAATCTCTTCACAAAATAAAAACTCAAAATAATCGGTCGCCTCCCCCTCCAACATCATCAACCGCACCACCACGGCCTCCCGTTCCCCGTCCCCTGTCAGCGACGAACCAAGACCCGCCACTCCCCAAAACCCACCTCCACCGCCACCAAGATCCCCGCTCCAAAATCCCCAGAACCTAAAAACCCACCTCCCCAAAATCCGACGACGTCCAGAACCCCATTTCCCTCGCCCTCCGACCCGACCGCCGGATTCCCCGACCGAACGCCCTCCATCCTGATCCGCCTCGAACGCCGCCCGCTCCACCCGAGCGCTGCCGTCCCGACTTCACCCGCCCCGCCGCCGTTTTCGATCCGTGCCCTTCTCCTCTCCATTGCAACGAACGAAGGAAGCCTTGGATCTGAGTTGATTTGTTCAGACCCCTCCTCTTTCCTATTTATTTGTTGGGTTTGTTTGGTTCAGATCCGAACCGAACCAAGTGGGTTCAGATCTGTTTATTTTGGGTTCATTTGTATTGATCTGCATTTGGGATTGCTCGATTCTGTTGACCGTTGGTGTATGGCTGATCCTGATGCTGATGATGGAATTGTGCTAGATCCAGAGACCGACATCGCAGATTTACAGATTTCTCCGTGGTTTGATTATCAGTCATTCGAGAGCGTGCCCGAATACGTTGAGCGTGTGACTCATCAGATCATTGACAGCGTAGAGAGTAGCTTGGGAATCAGTTCGTGGCATCGGCGTTTCCATCCAGATACACCGCTCCATCCGAACTACGCCGCCCTCGGTGGAGAACTTCCTCCCCTCATTTTTGGCGTGTACGAACCACCACCAGAGGAGCCTCCCATCGAACCAGTTCAACCCGACGAAGGTTCAACTTTCTTTCGCCCAGTTATTTACGGAACTGCTATTGCTTGCATGTTGCTATCAATATTATTATCAATCGTATCTGTGCTGTATTCAGTTTGATTAAGTGAGCGAGTGAATCTGTTGCTAAGTACTTTTACTTATCCAAATATTACACTTTGAACTGTATTGAAAGAACGAATCATTACATTTATTTTCTGGATCATTACAAAAGATTTGAACTTAGTACATTGCAACTTTTGCTTAAAAACCATCGAAGGCTACACTTTATTCTTGAGCTTCCTGCCTAGATCGATCGCTGATTTGGCGAAACATTGTTGTCATTAATCTTCATACCTGCATCACATTGTTTCGCATCAATAGCTCCATGGACCATGGGCACTATTCCTTGCATATATGATTTGGTGCTTGAGTCCAACCCCAAACGTTATGAAGTAGTGGGAAACGAAAACAAGTTGAGATAATTGATCTATAAACACTTATAATAGAAGAAGAACCTACAGTTATTTATTGTAACTAGAGATCCCCCGCCAAGAGTAAATGTTGGGTTCAGTACATACAACATAGAAAGACTGAGATCTTTGGCAGCACAACATGTGGATGTTCCAGAGGACAACTTCACACAAACTTTAAGCATTTTCAAGAGAAGAAGGCATCATTTTACAGCCTCATGTTAGCGAGACCAGAAGGCAAATAAGTGTTTCTAGTGATGAAGAAACCTATAGAATTTTAAGGCTTTGGACGCTTTGATGCATATGATTTTGATGCAAGGACTAGGGATATATAGGTAATAGTCATTAGAGACATTATAATAGCAGATTCACAATAAACTTCTTAGCTTGTAGTAGGGTCACTACATGTTGAGGATGATGAGATTGCTGTGGAGAACAAAGAAGTAGCTGAAAACAAAATGGATGATTGCTATTCAGAAGACGAGTTCCATGATTTGCTTTCTTCTAATGATGAGAACAAAATGATGAAGAGGATAATGAAGTGAAGAATATGTAGGGGATGAAATCTTATCACTAATTTTGAAGAACCTATGGGGTGTAAATTCAAAAATACAGAAGATGTCAAGCAATGTATTAAACAACATAGTATCTTGGCTAAGTTTGACTTCAGAATTGAAAAAAGTGATCCGAATCGGCTTGTGATATAATGTAGTCCGGCTTGTCATTGGTCTACTAGTCACCAAGATGTCTGATAGCTTTTTATTTGAGATTGTAGCCTTTCATTTGAGATTAGAAAAAACAGCTATAAGAACACATGTTCTGGGGTTAACAAGACAGGAAGCAATGCTGTCTCGATTAAATGGCTAGCTCAATTTATCTTGCACGATATTAGAGAAAATCCTAACATTGCCCCCAAAGGACATTACTAGATCAGTGGTAAAAAGTTCAAATTCACAAATCCTTATCATAAAATTTGGACAGCAAGAAAAGTTGCACTAGTGATGATTTATGACAATATCAAGGAGAGCTCTAGCTTCATTCCATCTCTAATGGCAGAATTAATTTGCAGAAACCGTAGAAGTTATGTTGAATATGAGTTGGAACACACTCATGCATTCCAGAGATTGTTCTTCTCTTATATAAAGTACAATTGAATTGTTCACATATAGTTGTAGGCCTATCTTCGGCTTGATGGCAACACCTTAGGAGTAAGGATTTGGGTACATTACTTGACATTTGCAATAGATAGAAACAATAGGTTATATCCTGTTGTAGAGGGTGAGAAAGAGATCACGTGGCTATATTTTTTTTCCAGCCAAGACAAGCTCTTCGATCGACATGGGGCACATCACTATTATAAGTGATGAGGAGAAGGGTTTACATGAGACAGTTATACAAATATCTCTTCATGTGGAACATAGAGCTTGCATGAGGCACTTGTTGAAAAATATTAAGAAGTATCCAGATGATGTATGTAAGAGAGAGATTTGGGACGCTGCAAGATCATATAAGATAGTCAAATTTGAGAGGGCAATGTGTGAATTGCAAGCTATATCTAAAGATTGCGCAGCTGAACTTGTAGCTACCTGTAGTAAAATAGGGTGCAAATAGAGTGGATCCACGTTTTCATCGGTGGCAAGGAATCACTATACTGTTAACAACTTGAGTGCGAGCTTTAATTCATGGATTTTAGAAGCACGCTCCCTTTCAGTTGTTGACTTAGTGGATACAATTAGGATCAAAATTATGGAAAAATTGAATCTGAGAAGAAGATTTGGATCTAAGTGGAAAGGAGTATTAGTACCTAAAGAGGAAAGATATGTGAGAGATCTTAGTGAGAATCTCAGAGGGTGGCATGTGAGAAGATATGATAATCAAGTGGCGGTGGAGTTGATGGAGAAAAGAGAAGTTTTGAATATGGAGTTAAAGACTTGCACTTGAAGAAAAGATGGCAAGTAACTGGTTTATTGTGCATACATGTGCTGAAGTTATTGAAGGAATAAAAAAATGCTAGATGGGCAGATCACGTTGATCCTTGTTAACACATTACCAAGTAAGTGTCTTTATTTATTCACATGAATAGATATATCTTCTTTATGAATACTAAATACTAATACACTTGTTTGTATCTTTTTTAGTTTCAGACTTGCTTATGAAACTAGAATTGTAGCTATGCCTTCTAAAGAAGAATGACAAAAAGTTGTGTTGGGGTATAAAGTAGGTCCTTCACATGCTACTAGACCAAGGGGTGGACTGAAAAAACAAAGAGAAAAAAAAGCACAGGTGAGTTAGAAGAGGGAAGAAGGATGGTAAAGCCCATTCTTTTTGTTATTTAAATGTTTGGTAACAACTTGATAATGCATTATCTAATGAAATTTTATCGATAGGTGTCAAAAAGACAACACAAATTTAAGAGATGTGGTGGATTTGGGCATCACAAAAGCACCTATAAGATGTTTGTCACTGCTTCAATGACAACTCAAGTCAAATGTACAGACTGAAGTGGGCAGTGGTCATGGCAATTTTGTTTCAACCGGTAGCTCAGCTAAAACTACAGTCAGGTAAGATCAATATAACCCATGTTCTTTGCTAATGACATTTGTTATTGTCTTATTGTTTCTACATGTTATTAAGTTGGCTTATGATAACTGTCCAATTTACAGAGTGAGGCAGAGGGGTATTAGACCTGGAGGAAGAGTGGGGAACAGAAGTGCAACTCAAAGTGTTTCTTTTGGATGTAGAAACTACCAACCAACTCAAAGATAGTGTGAGTTAGCCAAGCCGATGCAACGAGTTCATGACACCAACAGGCTTCCACAGGTTACTGCTGCTTGTCCATTCGCTAGAGCAAGGAGGACAGGAGTACTACTTGAGGGGGAAAAAATTCCAAATATTCCAACATGTTTGGAGGCCATGAATTATCGTGTCGTGGTTTGGATTGATTGTTACTTTGTCTCCTAATAGTCGTGTTTGATGACAATATACTATTTTGGATAGTTTGGATGTGTACTACTTATTTTGGGTGGTTTGCTTTTGAACTAATTTCGATGATGTTTGCTACTTAATGAATGTTAAGTTACGAAAAATTGGATTGTATACCAATTGAATTAAGTTGCCATGCTATCCAAACATAGCAAATTAATGTGAGTATTTCGGAGTATGAGGGTCACTTTTCACCACGGGATCCTTCAACCAAGCCAATTAGAGTTGAAGGCAATGAACGTTGTTATTGGAGTTGCTGCTGCAGTAGAGTAGCCACTGGTTCAATTTAGAAGTTTTTTTAGTATAGTTTTTCTTAGTTTGATAGATATAATGTGAAAGTACCTTAGAGGAGGTGAATAGGGTATATGTTAATCTAATCCGATATTAATGTCAAATTAAAACTTATTAACAATTATCCTAGCAAATTATGTTATGCAACAAATTATATGCAATGATATGTAATTAAAACAAGGGTGATATAAATATGAGATAATGGCAATATAGAAAGCAATAAGCAACGAGCACAAATAATACGCCAAGGCAAACTCTAACACACAATATGATCGCGAAGTTCGGTCACATCGACCTACGTCTCTGCTCCTCACTCACGAGGAGAATCTCCACTATCACAACCGGTTTTTAACGTTCACCGAAAACGCTTACAAGTCACACAATCGGTTTTCTAGCTCACCAAAAACTTTCACAACTTTCACAACTTTCACAAATGCAATCACACAATACATCCTCACGTGTTGGCCTCTCACGTGTCACCTTTCTTAAGTGCTCGGATTTATCACCTCTCATTAGGCTTTACTACCAACGTCACTCCTCTTAGAATTGACCCCGTCTCTCACCACACACTCCTCTTGGTGTACTTGTGTATTACAATGTAATCTCACAATGAAGCTCAAAGTACAAATGATTTGTTCTCTAACAAGGTGAGAACTAAGTTTAGGCTCACTCAATCACACCTACAACCCAAATTACACAATGTGTGAAATTACTTCAAGCTCAATGGTTGTGTGTGAAACAATAAGAAAATATGAAATCTAAACTCAAATCAATCTAGCAAATATATATATATATATAAGATAAACAAAATGCAAATAAGCTAGATGAGGAGTTTAGAAAAACTTCTCTAATAACAAAGAGGATGTAGATGATGATTTGAGGTTGAACTTCTCAAAACAAAAATCAAGCTCTTCTCTTTGTGAAACTTTCTTCACACAAACAAACTTTGTAAAACTCTTTAAAAACTTAAACAAACTTGCCAAAACTTATTTTAAACATTTCTCCATTTGTTCATAAGTTAAAGGGTATGAGGTATATATAGGATCAAGAAACAAAGGCCCAAAAACTAAGAAAATATCACAAAATAACAAAATCTGGAAAACTAGTCGTTATGCCAACGGCTACTTGTTCGGTCGACCGAATGACACTGGTCGGCTGACCGAAGGGTGTGCATCGGTCGACCGAACCCAAGTTGTCGGTCGACTAAAACACCCTGAGAAAAATAGATGAAAAGACTGATTCTTGTCGGTCGACCGGCAAGGCTTGTTCGGTTGATCGAAAATAGTCATATGGGATTTCCAGAGACTGAATTGCAGAAATTTGATTTTTAAACACTATTTAAAAATATCAAATAAATTCTAAAAAATATAAAACTTTGAAAAATGAAAATAAACATGAAAATAAACATGTTACAAAAAGATTTTTTCAAATTGCACTTCCTAATTGTGAAAATTCATCATTTTGTAAAATTGGTCAAAATACGAAATATAAAAAACACATGATTTTGACAAAATGATTTCAAAAAAGTTTGAAACTACTTTAACTGGATTAATGGACTTTATATAATATATACAACCGTTATATTTAGTCATTAATCCATAACACAATATTTTGCATATTGGTAAAACATACAAACTTGTTAAAACTTGATTTTGATGAATTTATTCCAAACAAGTCTTAAAACACTTTCCAATAGGTTTATAGACTTGACAAGAGATATAAGATCATGTCGTTAAGTCTATAATCCAAAACGGAGATAACTTAAAATAAACGATAAATCAAAACAAATGTGTGTATATGAATTTTGAGCTCTAAGTATAAACACACAAAATATAAACCTAAAACACTATACCCAAGCAATTTGATCTTCAATTAAGCTCTCCTTGGTTGCGCATGAAGCGATATTGGATCTTGACTTGAATTATGGAAAGCTTCATTCCGATTTCCTTTAACCTCCAAGATATCGTCGTTAAACTCGATTCCACCCAACCTCGGGCAGAGGATCTTTGTGTAGAATACCTAACAATCAAATGCAAACACTCAATAAATATTGTTAGGAATTGTTTGTGAATCATCAAAACAAGATTAAATAGTAGGCTTATAAACATGAGACCTAACAATCTCCTCTTTTTTGATGATGACAAACAATCTACACAAAGGGTATATAAATATGCATGATACCAAATGAATATATAAAATATAATCCTCATGCATAAAACCAATTGAGAGCAACAAGTAAGATATACTCACAATGTACATATTTCTCCCCCTTTGTCAACATCAAAATGAGGAAAACAATAAAAGATAATAGAGCGTAAGCTCCCCCTACAAATTAGCATAGGTAAGTATAAAAATAAATATAGGGGAAAAATTCCCCCTATCAAAATGCCACGTAGAATGTATAAAATGAAATATAAAGGCAAACATATGTAAGAAAGTATAGATATGTGTAATGACTGTGAAATTTTGATACTAATTAGAATAATTTTCTAGTATTTTAAAATATTTAATTATGATTTTTAAAAGAGTATTTGTATTTTTCCTGAATTTCTAGGAATTTATAGGAATTTCTAGGAATTTCTATGATTTAAAAGTATAAATCTTATATTATTTAAATGATTTTAATAGTTATAAATTAATTTCGTGTGGTGAAAATTTCTAGAATTAATCTGTTGTGTTATCGGTACTATTACGTACCATTTGAAATAATATGTTGTATTATTATTACTGTTACGTATTATTTTGTATAATACATTGTATTATTAATTACGTATTATTTGTTGTATTACTTTAATTATTGCGTATCAACTGTCGTATTAATACAACTGGTATGTTTTATTGTGTAGATAATTATCCTATAATTATTTAATTTCAAATATAAAAATTTATATTTTTTATTAATTATTCTTGTTTAATTGTATAATTTCTTGTATTATTTTTACTGTTGTGTATTATCGGTTATATTACTACAACTGGTACGTTTTAATGTGTAGATAATTTTCACATAATTATTTAATTTAATTTATTATTATTATTATTTTAATTAATTTTCAAAACCCTAATTTCATATATATATATATATATATATATATATATATTATATTATATATATATATAAATACGTGTACTCTCTCCTTCCTTTTTTTCCCCAAACACCGCAGGATCCACCGCCCCCTTGCCTTGCTCTTCCCCGACCCGCCGACCCCGTCGTTGTACCCTCCACGAGAACCGCACCCCCCTTGAGCCAAACGCCCCATATCCGACCACCCCGTCCGGCCGCCCCCTCACCACTCTCTGCACCATCTCCTCTCTTCTCGTTCTCCTTATTCTTTGTTCACACACGCCGCCAACCACCACCCTGACCTCTCACGTCGCGAGCACGCTCCCAGCCTCCTTCACTCGCTCGACCATCGTCCTCAGCCGCACCCCCCATCTCGCCGTCACCAACCTCTCACCCGCGCTGACCCCCCCCACCGCTCAAATCCACGTTGCACCACAGCTCCTCCTCTCTCCCCCTCACCGCAAATCCGCCGCAGCCTCACTCGAGCTTACCTCCGCCCCGACGCTAAGCCCTCTGCCCATCGCCACCAAGCCCAGCCTCACTACTTCACCTCCTTCCCTCTCTGCACCCTACCCTCACCAAAGATCCGACTAACAACCTGCAGCTCTCTCCACCTCTCACCGCCGTCGCGTTCAGCCATAGCAACGAGCGCTGCTCTGACCAGCCCCCTTTTGAAACCCTCCGCGACCACCCTCTGAATTACCTAAACAGCCCCTCTCTCCTCTTGAACGCCGAGATCCTGTAGCCCCTCGCCGGAGTCCCCTCTGACGCCGCGCTCCTCCGCGCCAGATCCGCCTGGCGCCGTCGACGTCGAACTGTGGCAAGATCTCGCCTCTCCTTATTGTCATTTCAATATTTATATATTATATTTATAGATTAGTTTGTATTATAATTAATTGTGCTGGTTGTTGGGTGAATAATATTGATTTAAATCATAGATATGTGGTAAATAGTATTTTCGGAATAGTTATAATAAATTAAAAGAATTTATTTTGATAACAGAATTATTTTAAAGAATTTATAATATTTTTAAAATAATTTATTTCAAGGAAAAAGAATTATTTTAGAATAATAATTTGAAATGATAAGTTAGGTGTTAAAATTAGAATTTATGAAATATTATCGAAAAAGAAATAAATTAAAGATAATTTATAAAATAGGAAAATGTTACTATTCATGCAAAAAAGAACTAACAAAATTATATATACTATAAATATATTTTAAAAGATTATTTTAAAATAGTTATGATAAGAAATAATTTTTAAAGAATTATTTTGGAAAAAGAATATTTATTAATTAAGAACGTATAACTGATAGTCGTAGAGCGTGACATTTCATGTGCAAAACGATATCGGTTTCTAGTTTCCTTTTACAGCATTATTATGTTAGAGATTACTTAATCACAGATAACTTTCATAAGAAGTTTGGACACCCCAGTAGTGAGATATTAATGAGATCTGTTTACGTGTGTATTTATGTTGTTGTAGACACTGTTCATGCATCCCGTATTTATTTGTAGTTATTATTCATGTCTTACGAACTTTGTTTTAATATATTCTACATGCCATGATGTTGTTGCATAGGAATAGTTTTATTATTATATCATTGTTGTGATTGAGAACCCTTAGTAGTTCATGACTTAGTGGCTCATGCATCATAAACAGACCTAGTGATATGTGTGGGTGTGTTGACTGATTTAGGTGGTGAACCGGAGATATTGTGGACTTTGATCGTTGACTTAGAAAATGAGAAGAGTTGGGATGAG